AAAAATAAGCGAGATATTTTCAAAAATTGGGATTTTAGGCCATTTTTAGGCCATTTTTTCAAAATGGCGGCTTTAGCGGCGAAAAGATCTTTACACAAATGCGAAATTCGGATTCAACGTCCAAAAATACATAGGAATCACTCATCAAAAAGTTTTCCGGGAAATTTTCCCCAAGAACTTCCCTATTGCCTGGACTAATTGAAGTCCTGAGGTGAATTCGAAATTTCAAACTGATGGATTTCAACGGTCTCCGGTGAGACCAACAAAGAAGTCGAATATCATTTTAAAAACATGCACAATCGTCCACCGTCAAATGCACCGTTGAATGATATTCAACGGTGAATGATATTCGATCGCAAATATTCGTTTTTCGTCTATCAATCTCAACAATCAGCCTGCACTGCCGTGCTAAGGAAGAACGCCGTATGAGCCTACAGGCGTTGCCAAGTCTCCTCCGATAAATACCGAATTTACTGGGAATGTTGCGAATATTATTTTCCAAAATTTTCAGACAATTTTGAACGCAATTAAATCTTAAACATCCAAAAATGTCAAGGGAAAACATGTAAAAATGCCGTCAAAAATACATGTTTCATCGAAGGAAATTTGGCAACTCTCGAATGTTCATACGGCGTTCTTCCTTAGCACGGCAGCGCAGGTGTTCGATTGTAGTTTCCTGTCTATCCTGAATCAAACGGAAATGTGAAAACTTATGATAAAAAGGCGATTGTTTTCCGCAGGGATCATGGCAGCTCGAGAGGGTCGACTCTCGTTCATGGTCGGCGGCGAGGGAGAGATCGTGGAGAAAGCACGACCCATTCTGGAGGCCATGGGAGCCAAATTCGTTCATTGCGGTGGTCATGGAAGCGGACAAGCGGCCAAAATGTGCAATAACCTGCTTCTGGCCATCTCCATGGCCGGCGTTTCCGAAGCCATGAACCTGGGAATCAAGTGAGTCATCAAAGACATCACACTGAAAAAAAAAATCTCGGTGTATTTACTAAGAAAAGGGTAAAATTACCAAGAATTCAGGGTTCTATTTGATCCCCGTTTTTTCTTGGTAAAATTACCATTAATGAAATTGGTAATTTTACCGAGAAATCTCGGTAAAATTATTGATTTTCTCGGTAATTTTACTGGACCCCGGTAAAATTGCCAATATTTATTATCGACTGTGGTAGAATTACCGAGATCAAATGGCAAAGTTACTGAGAATTGATTACCAATAAAAGTGGTATTCTTACCTGAGAAAAACAGTAAAAATACCGGTTTTTAGGTAAGCTTACCAGTCTGTCTTGGTAAAATTACCAATAGTTGGTAAAAAAAGTAAGATGGTAAAGGTACCAACGGACCTTGGTAAAAACGCCAAGAATTTTTTTTCAGTACAAAAATATCGGAGAAAAAACGGGAAACAAGGCTAAAAAATACACGTAAAAAATCCGAGACGTTTCGGCCCAAAACTGAGCTATTTTCAGTCGGAAAAATAAAATGAAATATGAAAATTCTAAATAATTTTTACAATTTTTGGGTCGAAATGTTCCGGATTTTTTATGTGTAATTCTTAGTCTTGTTTTCAGTTTTTTCTCGTATGTTGTTGATATCACCACTGTCACGGGCTGCTGTTTTAGAAATTTTAACCTATGTCATCAAAGACCAGAGATCGTCGCCTTCCGTCCGAAGCATTGCAAGCGCCAAAATTTTCCGCCGCTATTTTTTTTTTTTACAAAGAAATTGTTCAAAGAAGCTGTTCAAAAATTTCACCGAATTTTCTTTGTGCTGCCGTTGAAATTCAGTTACATATAAATATTCATAGAGATTCAACCAACAATTCCTCTGTGAAATAATGAAATGGCGTCGAAAATTTTGAAATGTCCCAAGGCTCTTCGAAATTTTAATTTATGTCATCAAAGACCAGAGATCGTCGCCACCCGTCCGAAGCCTCGCAAGCGCCATGCGACGTTTACAAATTTCCGCCGCCATTTTATTTTTTTACAAAGAAATTGTTCAACGAAGCTGTCCAAGAATTTCACCGAATTATCTTTGTGCTGCCGTTGGAATTCAGTGAAATTTTCATACAGATTCAACCAACAATTCCTCTGTGAAATAATGAAATAGCGGGGAAAATTTTGGAACGTCTCATGGCGCTTGTGATCCTTTGGCCGGAGGTGACTAGATCTAAACTTAAGCTCGAAGTTTCTCTTGAGACGTCTTAATTTTGAAATTTTAAAATTTTTCTAATGAGGCCCATTAGTTCCAGTTTTGAGTATGAAAGAGTCCTCAGTTTCGGTTGGTGGGGTATCCCTTTGAAATCCCTTGACGATTGACTGTCCTGTAACCCCCCCCCCCTCCCCCATTAGAAATCCCATATTGATGGTTAACAGAGAAACAACTTAAAACGGGACCAAGGCCGCAAATAATAAAAAGAAACACATAAAATAACAAGTTGGATTTTGCAATCGCTAGCGATAGCAATATTCGTCATGGGAAC